ATGATAAGAAGGTAACAAATAATTAACAAAATTTTATGTTTTTGATTGTGTTGGTATTTAATAAAAAGATAAGCATTCGTTTTATATTTTTATGAATGAGCTTTTAAAAGATATAGATAATCGTTGTAATTGTATTTACTTACATAATGATAAAATACCTAATCCATAATAATAGCAAAGTACTTTGATCTTATTCGTCCCTAAAATTATATTATTCTGATAAACGTGCTAGACCGTAGTAACGGGGTATTGGAAATCGCGAATCAAATTACAAAATTTAATTCTAGAATATGCTCTTGGTCCTATGCAGTGTCGGAATAGTATCTACCACTCCTCCATACATCTCTATCAGCCGTCATATCTGAACTCACCCCCATCTTACGTATATCCTCTTTCACACAATGCATCCATACTTTCTTAATTATGTAATTAAAATATCTCCGAATTATATATTCATACTACGTCTAGTACTTAAGTATAGTACTGAAATATTTTGTATAATCTGTAAAAATTAAACATAAGATTCAAATCACGTGTGTTTCGTCATGGTTAGCGTGATTTTCCTTTACGAACTTATCAGATGCTATCAATGTTTCAATAGAAATAATGGCGTCACATTGTGTAGTGGGCGTGTTTTGTGCTTGCTTTTAGTCTGACTCATCAGATAAATCATTGTGCTTAATCTTCAGTCAACGAATGATTTGAAAGGAAATTTTAGCTAAGCAATTTTACTACGACACACGTTATTCTGACCGATGATTTCCGCTGCTGAAACACGTGTACATAGTATAGCCATCCCTGTCATTCTCTTCGAACAGACTGAAATAACAATATTTTGATACAAGTATTTCGGCAGTGGTACTTACGGTTGGATGGAAGCCTTTCATGGGATGGTTTCGGATGACGTAATATTTAACTTTGTACTGTTTACACGGTTAAATATGACATAAAAAATCATGTGGGTAGCGCCATCTACATTTTGACGCTAAAACTTACTTCGACTTTTACAGAATCGAAGGATTTAATTAAATTGTCTTATTCAATGAAGGCTTCGAATTATAAAAATTATTTTTTTAACTCTTCGTTCGTGAGCAATATAACCTAAATATTACCAATTTTTTTTTAAATTCACGGTTCTCCTTTGCCTACATAATAATTACTAACTGCTAAAGGTGACGCTTAGTGTAGATAGGAAGGAGGAGGACTATAAAGGAACTCACTTGACAATTCAGAGTGGAGTAAATCATAGTATCGGGGCGAGAAATCCTTATGTTAAAATACATAGGTGTGTTCCTAATCTTCTAACAAAGTACAACGCATATTCTTTATAGTATTGTCTGTGATATTGACGTCATGATCTGACTCGAATCCCAAGACGGGCTTAAGGTCACCTGTTTGATAGAATCTGGCGGGTGTGAGGAGGGCCTTGGCCTGGCCGGGATCCGATGAATGGGAGAGGATCGATGGCGCCGGCGACTCTCTGTCTATCTGACTACTGACGTCACAAGAGAAAGTAAGCACCTAAATATATCATTGTTTCTTATAGTTTCTATATCCAATATTTTATTCCAGATTTCTGTTTGAAATACGCTACTTACTTAAATGTACCTTTTTAATTTACCCGCTTTTTCCCGTGAATTCGTCCGCGCAGTATAAAAAATATTATTATTACCTCAATATTTATTAGAACGTGGTTTTGTGTCATTGGCATGATTAGTTAATCTCTTCCCTTTCGTTTGAAACTTTAATTATTGCAAAACTATGAGTAGTTCTATTGACTTTAGGAGATTGCTCGTGTTTCAGTAGTACATGGTTGTACCCATAACCACCTACCTAGGGGCGATTAGAGATATGTGTTACTTTGAGAAGGTATGCGCCTTCTTCTCCGACATGATCCTCATATCTCGTTAACTTCTTTAACAAGACATGGTTAACACACCAGAATACTGTAAACTGCCACTGTCTGTGGATAAATATGGGATAGTAATAAGTAGAGAACTCTTAATTAATGCCCCAATTCGAAGTCGTAAATCTGGGTGTTGATCAAGAATTTTGCACTTTACTTCAGGAATGGAAATTTTAGGATTTTGCATCATATTACTCGTTGTATAACTATACCCAAAACAACATTTAACCATTTCCAATTATTTACACATAATAAAACTCCTGCAATCTTCTACAACATTATATAGAATGTGACATTTTAATTTATTATTTTATTTTAATTAGCCCGATTCGTTTGAAGACCCATCCCTATAGATAGTTATAGACATGTAAGAAAAGATAAAAGGAAATAAAGCGAGTCACAAACCCTGGCCTAAACCTCAATTATTTTGACAATGATTATTAATTTTTTATTTTGTCAACTAACTTTCAAGTAATATACATAAAAACGTCGCAGCCTTGTCTTTATAGCCAAAGAATTTAATACTTAATGGGAAAGAAATAAAGTTGAATAAATCTTGACTGTAGCATTTAATTATAGCTTTAAATAACAACGACTCATAGTGCTATTTTTAAATACTGTTTACGACAGTGAGGATGGCATTAGATAATTTAACATTATATTATATATTTTGACAATTATTATCGAAGCAATATTATATAATAAAAACCTTGTGCGACCCCAAATGAGTGGGATAAAGCCTGGAAGAAAGTTAGGGCCCCTAACACTGAAAAAGAGAATCACTATGAAAACATATTTTTAAAAGTATGTTATGATAAAATTGTGTACTATAAACACAGTGAACTTCGTTTCTTATAAAATAAATTAAAAAAAAAATTATGTACTTATTTTTTTATAATAACATCTGTAAAGTAATACTAATATAATCAAGAGCGACCCATGAATATATCCATGGCTATTCATAACCAGCAATTTTCCTTAGTAATACGACTTTATCCGTACTGTAATATTATAAAGAAAAAAAATTAATTGTTTATTTTCAATCAGTAAAAAATAAAACAACGATTTTAAGAATTAGGCTTATACACTTTCTTATCAAAGAATATAAGTCAACATTTCTTATTCGTCTTCCTCTATACCAGGAATGAAGCTGCATTATCGCAAGTATTATTTATTGCAAAGCAAACTGCAATCGTGGCATCCCTTGTCTGTGAAGTCATAATATAAATACATAGGAACAAGTAATATAATCCTGAACAAGAGCTAAGCCCTGTGTTTTACAAGCCAATCCTTTCACCTTATTCATTCTTGCTGCTGATTGTTTACATCGTTGGCACTTAAGTATTTTTCGCTGACCCTGAAAAAAGGCCTTTTTTATATCATAAGGTGGCAAACGGGCGAGCGGCCACCTGAAATCGCTGAAATAGCGAAGTGACCGTTGCCCATAGACATACGCAATTGCATATGCGTTGGCTACCTTTAATCGACGGAGGAGAGGATGCACAGAAAGAAAATATTTTCTCTTTCCATGCATCCTCTCATCCGCAAAGTCCACATCCACTTCCCGACCCTTCCTCATAAGAAAAAGGGTGGGAAGGGAAAGAGGACTAAATTAGGCCTCCGGGACGCACACTCATCAGACGAAACGCGGAATTGCTTCCACTTCACGCCTGTCTTCTGTGTGGTCGTGGTTTCACCGGGCGAGCCGGGCCTTTATATGAAGCGATACTGATTTCTGAAAATGTGGCCCTTTTATGGTTAGTAATAATACTATTATATAGAGCATAGTTATTAATTTAATTAAAATGATGTATATCAAAATTAATTTATATTTAATATATAAATTAATTTTAATATACATATAATATTATAATAATATTTGTTGTATCAAACGACGATGGTTTATAGTTTCATATTAAAAACGAATGTTTTAAAAGGGAAATGGTTTGTTTCAGAATACAATTTTACAATTCAGAAAACAATTTTATTGTTATTACATTGGTATCTTGTTTCCGGTAGGTGGACAACGGACGCGCTTGCGCGAACTAGTGCGAGCGACGAACGCGTTTGTGCGAACTAGTCCTGGAGAAGAACGCGCGTGCGCGAACCAGCGCCTTCGACGGACGCGCTTGCGCGAACTAGTGAAATCGCTCGATAAAATAAGAATTTCATCTGTTTGTTTTTAGAAATACAAATAATTAAGGAAGTTTAAACAGAAAAAGACCAAAAATATGCGACTTTATAATTTTATCCTATACATTTAGGCTATAATGTCATCTTGGTAATTTATTATTTGAAGTTGCTATTGTAATTAGTTGAAGATTTATCATAATGAATTGCAAAAAATGTAATTATCAAATATTATTGACGACAATATTCATGTTTCATGTGCTAGAATTTAGACAAAGTTAGTAAAGAAAAACAGTCAACAATTCTTGCTTCTAAATGTTGCCATACACAAATTATCACTTGGTTAAAACACTTTTCTTATGGCAATACACTTACATCAAACAAAATCATTACTTTCCCAAACTCTATATCTGTACTGCTCTACTAGGGATGCACGATCCAGGGGCTTTGTATCGATTTTCTGGACCGCAATATATCGTAACACCAATTGTTGTAAGTCCAACCAAGTCCAAAAAAAGTGTATCAATCTAGTAACGATCCCCTTGATTGACTACAATTTTGATTGATCCAGTATCATAAAATGTATTAAAAAAATTCCAATTTACCAACCTAAAAATTTCACTTTAAATTTTGTCATCCCCAAAACTTTAAGGCTCGTAAAAGTAATAATCACAAGTAATTATTACGAAATTGACGATACATCATAAAGAAATATAAATAGGCTAATAACTTATGTAACAAACTGTACCTCTAAAGATTTTTTTTATAAATGAGGAATGAATCTGTTCGTTGCACTATAATCTAATTTTATAGTTAATGAACACTATATAAGTCCCTAAATTTCGTACATATTCTTCGATCTGATCCATTAAATACGTAGATCCAGTAATGTATCGAATGCCCATGTATCGATACCAAAAATCGAATGGATCTACCAAAGTTTAGGTTCGGTTCGAGCATCCCTATGGTCTACACAACATGGCTTGTGGTGGTTATTGAAAGCTATAGTGTTATCTTCTTTAGCAACAAGTGTCAATCAATATTTTGTCATATGACTTTGCATATTGGTTAATTTTATTAACCCGATAATTTTCCCTATGAGTTTTAATTGTGTGTGTTGACTTCATTTTTTAAATAATTGCTAGGAGCAGGTGAGATGACATGCTTGTCAATAATCAGTGAAAAGATGAATGAATGAATTATTACTGGGATTTTTCTATTCCTCAACAATGAGCGGATATTTTTTCTCTTGGTAAATATACAACACCTTGACGTAAACTGTGCATTAGATCATTTTCATTTATTATTCAGATCATTATCGGACAGCATCACTTCAGGTCATATCTGCTCAAAATAGATGCCACGGACTTTATTGATTTATTGATTAAATTAAAAATTTTCAACATCGAACACATCAAAAATCTTTAAACGTATTTAAATACTCACAAATTATTCGCGAAGCGTACCCGTAATGATTTTCTCAATTATGTTGTGTGGGTGATATTTGCTATTGATTTTCATCTAGCTTTTAAACTCCAATGTTACGTACTTACGAACAAGTATGGCTTACACACATTTTTGCGATATTACTTAGTAATTATATATAAATGAAATGAATCATATGGACAGTGATACACCCAATTTGGCTATATATACTACTAGCTTTTGCCCCCGACTTCGTTCGCGCGGCGCAGTTAAAAAGAAGAGGATGAGTATACTATGCATTATTCAAGACTACATTCTTCATATGTATGAAATTTCAATAAAACATATAGAACCATTCTGGAGTTATTAAGTAAATTAGGTTAAAATGAAATAAACATATCTTGCAGGAACTGTACAAATTTCAGAGATATTATTTAAACTATATGTTCTTCCACAATCTGTCCTGCATCAATAATAAATTTAATCGAGATCCATTTAACCACTCTGGAGTTATGTTGTAACAAACATCCATCCAAACATTCACATTTATAGTAAGATTTCGTAACTCAAACAAAAACTTTACTGAATAGGCAGTTTCATGTATATTTATACTTGATAACTTTTAATTCTAAAATCAGACTCGAAGTTAGTAATATATAATGATATCTTACTAGGAATTCCCTGTTAATACTTATTATCTGGAACTTCCTGTTAGGCCGAAGACTCAAAAAGTCAATGTTATTTGAATTTTCCTTGAGATTTAAGATATAGATATTCTATTGTATTGAAATCGTATTTCCCTTTGTATTTAAGGAACAAAACTGTTATCTCAATCTTTTAAGACTACATCTTGTACCGGCTTTAGAAAATGGTAACATACTTTGTTGTCATAATATGTAGCAACTACTGAACTCTGGTACAATTTGAGAAGTACAAGCATACTATGTTTCAGTTACTTAAAACAACTTAATCAGCTATATCTAAGCTATATAAAAGAAAGTCGTGTTAGCTACACTATTTATAACTCAAGAACGGCTTTACCAATATAGCTGAAAATTGGTGAGGAGGTCATTGAGAGCCAGGAGACGGACATAGGATACTATTTATTCATTTTTTTCCGATTTTATGCCTTGAAGAGCTGCTTTTAATTTAACTTCCTAATATTATAAATGCAAATGTCTAGATGGATGTGATGTGGATGGATGGATGGGTGTTTGAAGATATCTCTAGAATGGCTGAACGGATCTCGATTAAATTTGGCTTACGCATAGAACATAGTCTGAAAGCACACATAGGCTACACTAATTAAGTTTTTATATATATCCACGCGGACGGAGTCGCGGGCGACAGCTAGTAGTCTAATAGAAACATTGAGATATACTTATTATTTCATAATAGTTTTCATCTTTTGAACATCTTGTATGGTTTGAAGGATTTGGTAAATGTAACAGTATTGTGTTCATCAATTATAATAACAATAGTCATCGGTACAGTGCAGGTTAACCAATTTTCATTTATTTGATCGAAACATTGTAGTAACCTAAATATTTATTTATAAGCAAGCAAAAGAAGTAATAGGTTTACTATGTGGTTTTTTCTAACTGACTTATTTGAAAGAGTTTTATATTTGTGTATAATATATGTTGTCTTCATTCAAGCAATCACAATTTTCTTATTTCTTATTAGAATCAAATTAACGGCATTATGCTTGATTTTTTATATCTGTTGAAGCAGTATAACCTTTGCATAAATATAAATAGGAATAGAATCATTGATGAAAATAAATAAACTTTGATTTTAATTTTATAAAGTGGTTTTATGACATTTCACTATGTAATTGATACAGTATACAGTAATGTTGATCATCAATTGTTATTGAATACTTCTTAAAAATGCTTTGTAGTAGTACTTACTAAAAATAATTAAATCCAGTGGTCCATAGAGTTATTTTGTATTTAATGACCTATGCATAGAGATGTTGTATATAAATAGTTTTATAAATTGGTTTAATCGGTGCCCACAATACAGGCATTGCCTAATGTGGTCATCACTAGATTACACAAATAACACTAGTTAACACGAGTTAAATTTAAAAGCTTTGTTGTGTGAATGTTAGCCATTTTTATTTTTATCATTGTGGTATATGTCCTGAAGTGGTTTTACATACATCATTGGTATACAGAGGTATATAATCAATTCTAATTCATTCATTTTCAACTGGTCTGGACAAAGCTCATTGTTAATAAAATTTGTCTTATCTTTTATGTATCATGCATCTATTTTGGACAGTCTGTGTAAGGTTATGTCTATATTATCAGTGTATCAAATGCTTTTGAGGTTCATAAAATCATCTAATTCATTTTGAGAGTAGTTTTGTTCTATGGGTAGTGAGATTATAGAATCATTGCATGCTAGTATACTATTATAATGCAGGTATTGTATTTGTCTGTTGTTATTTCATTTAAATGGTGCATATGGCTATGTCATAATTCCAATAACCACCAATTTCATGGCAATGTTGTTATAGATACTCATTATACTTGTAAAATGTCATTTTTATATATTTCATAGTTTTGTTAGAGTTAGTAATTCTCAAGTGATATCCAGTGATGTCATCCATTCATTTTTGTGTCATTCTTATCTTTACTAACAAATAGTAGCATCTTAAAGTATAAAAGGTACCATATCACAGCATAAACATTTAGCCAGAATCTATGGTCACCATAACCAATTTGCAGTTTCAACCTATGGTGTATTAGGATCTTTATACTAAATTACTATTTTCTACTAATTAGGAAAGCCAAAAATATTGTCATTACATATTTAGAATGTGACTTGATGGTTTCATCACAATTTACCCCAGGAATGTCAGTGCTAGTAATGAAAAAATAATTAATCTAAATTAATCTTAGTCAGTTTCCATATATTTACAAAAATTATGGGCATTTTAGCTAACTTATAAATATTGTGTGTGTGTGTTAATAATTGGGCTTTATTTTTAAGTCATAAAAATGGTGTATATAAATTTTATATTTTAATAAAATTCATATGTATACATTTAATGGAAATATCTTCAGAATTTGAATAATAATGAGGAGTACAATATGAAGGAGATGGTAGGAGGCTGCTGTGTGTGCTCAGACGAGCGAGGTTGGCCCGACAACCCGCTGGTCTACTGCGATGGCAATGGATGCACTGTTGCAGTACATCAAGGTATTCACACTACACTATGTATTTAGTGTTATTTATATTTACTTAGAAGATAACTAACTATTATCTTTAATATTGTAGCATGTTACGGCATAGTGACCGTACCAACTGGTCCGTGGTTCTGCAGAAAATGTGAGAGCCCCGAATTCAAAGGGAAAGTTGTAAGTATATTTAAATATTTGTAATTCAATATAAGAATGTACTTTTGAAATGTACCTTTTTGCATTTTTTTGTAATAATTATGGAGGTAATTAAATTATCATTATCTTATTGTTTACTGAGTTATATGAGTACTTTTATAGGTTTTTGGTGTTTGTGTTTCAGCGATGTGAACTGTGCCCATCAAAGTCCGGTGCTCTTAAGCGGACTGATACAGGGGGATGGGCTCATGTGGTCTGTGCCCTTTATATTCCCGAAGTGAGGTTTGGGAATGTCACATCTATGGAACCAATTGTATTACGGCTAATACCACCAGAAAGATACAACAAGGTAATTCTTTATAATAATTTCTTTTTTTTAAATGTTTTTTTTGTGATTTATAAATTGTTATTTTCATTACAGTCATGCTATATTTGCCAAGATTTGGGCAAATCGCATCGGGCAAATGCAGGTGCTTGCATGCAATGCAATAAATCAGGTAAACTGTTATTTTTATTAAAAAAAAAACTTAAACCTCCTTAAAATTAATGAACATAACCCACAGATTAAAAGTTTTTTTTTTTATTTTGAATAAATTAATTATTTATCAGGATGCAAACAACAATTCCATGTGACGTGTGCTCAGAGCCTTGGCCTGTTGTGTGAAGAGGCCGGCAATTATCTTGACAATGTAAAATACTGCGGCTATTGCCAACATCATTACAGTAAACTTGTAAGTTTATATATAATTTTATTCTGTAACAATATTTATATTATTCGTCCAAATCGTGCTTCTTATATTATTTGAGTATTAAAATATGAATTTGCAAAGTCAAAAAAGTTAATCAGATTTAATAAACGTAATTATCAATTATTGAATATTTATTTACTTATATGAAAATAAAATGGCGTTGATTTTGAAGTTATTCAACGTTTTATTCAAGTGGATAATATTATGTTTAAAGCACTTGATGAAGAGTTTTAAAAAATAAGGAGCTAATTGTCATTATATAAGTAAATTATTTGTACGGAGGCACCTGCGTAGTTTAAGTATTGATTGTGCAGAAAAAGGGCGGTAACGTGAAGACCATCCCTCCTTACAAGCCGGTCTCACACGAAAGCCATTCGAGCGACTCAAGTGAGAAAGAAGGTGAAGCGTCCCCCATGGCTAGCGGCAGCGGAACACCAACACACCCAGCTAAAGCTAAAGGGGTATGTTCCTACGCGAGTCCATTTAGGTCCAATTGGTGTTAAATTAAATTGTTTATGTTATAACAAATTATGTAGGTTAGGTTACCTAAAGGTTCATTGATCTAAGTTTACATAAATGACTTTATAACCTTCGGTTTCTGAGTTCAAAATTCTCGTTTAAAACATATAGTTATCTCTGTGTTGTTAGAAACCATGACAGACGATAAGTTTTATATAGAAATTTTGATCTTAGAAATCAACGGTTAATGCCAGACTTATATTTAAGTGGTAATTAACGGAGTACCTTAGTGTATATTTATTTTGAAAAATTTACAATGGGACTGTTCTTCATCGTTAAATGAGTACAGTACTCTTAAATATAATCGATTTACTCCGTTAAATTGTTCCTATTTCACAGTCTTCTTGGTTACAATTAAAAATCAGTATCTAAGTTAAGAAAAAATTTTATTACACCGTTGTACATTATGTTTATTAGCAATTATTAATTCGTGGAAATAGTTGATAGCATAGCTCGTGTTTTTTTCTAGAATAATCTTCATACTTAGTCAAAATTTAATTTTGCATCATAAATTGTGTTTTATTATTGTGGTATTGTCAGAATGGGATGGTCAGAGTTTAGGAATCGTACAATACACCCTAAAATTTATTATCAAAAGTTTTCTTTAGTGAAAGGTGGCATGCAATGTTATAACTAAATATAACCTATTTTGTATATAAAGTCAAAGACAAAATTACATAAAGTAGGAATTTAAAATTAATAATCGCCTCTATTAACAAAGACTAATGGCATGTTATACAAATAACAAGTTTCGATTTTAAATAGCCTATGGTTTGATTATTTGCAGTCTCGCAAGTCTTCTCACAGCAGCAGCGTCATATCTGGAAAAAATACACCGAACGCATCAAAAACACCCACCAATTCGGGACAACAAATGGGTGCGTACAATATTGTTTTATTTAATATTCTTATTGACGTATGTTTTCATTGCCAATACTAATGAACACCATATTGTTATCTCTGTTTTCCCAAAGTGATTGAGAGGGATGAATGTATTTTTATTAAGGTTTGGCAGTGGAAACCAATGCTAATAGCTACTTAACATTGTAATTTTCTGCAGCTTTTCTTATTTCCATCAGTGTGATTTATAATCGTGTTAACGTGTTTTGTGATTAAATATAACAATATCATTCATCTTTAGTACAAACATTACTTCCCCTAATAGTAATACTTAATAGTAAAAAATAAACCAACCTTGAAGCTGTCTTTTTTGTTGTTAAGAGTTTAACAATGTCTATATTCTGTTAGGTATCGGGATAGGAATAGGACGCGAAAGGAGATTGCAATTTACTAATTTGTTTTTATCGTTTTTCGTGCATCGGTGTGCAACCGACAGAGTCCGGCCCGGAGCCGATGGAACAAGCTCCATCATCACGGAAACACAAGTCGTCTGACAAACGTGTGTGATCGATTAATGTTATTTTGAATTTCAGCTGTCGTAGCATTTGTTTAAGAACATTATTGCCATCTCTATTTTTTCTATGAGAATGAGGGGGATGGCAGTATGTTGTGGCAGGTGCTACGACAGTGGAGACTCTCCGTTAGTTTTGTGTGTGCACATGTTTGTCGGTAGAGATTTTAGTTTTACGTAATATTTTTTTAATAAGTGCATATTATTAGCGAAATGTTTTTTTTTGATAATGCATGCCAGTTCTTTTGTCAATTTGAAATTCGATATCTCAATTTATGAGTCAATTTCCAATTTTTCCTTTTACTAAAAGAAAGGTGAAAATACGACTTTTGTATGAATTTACGTTTTGCAGAACAATATGTTTTTATACGAATGAAATTTATATGAAGGTGGTGGTGATAGAATGGTTTTATTATGAGGTTGTGTCCGAATATATTGCAATTGCGTTGGTTTTTTAAACGCTTTTTTTTATTTCGGAATTGTTATTTTGATTAGTGCGATGTCTGTAATTGTATTATCGTCTTTTATCTTTTTGTTACTGCAAGTACAAATTTTTTGTTGCTTATGTTATATACACTATAATGTGGTAGTGTCCCAAGTTATGTATATTTTAGGTTTTTCGCTTTTTACTTTCATAGTAATATAAAAGCTTATGGTTATAATTGCATGTGAATTTAGAATATATTTAATTAACTAATATTAGAAGTAATTCGACGTGATGTGACATTATCTATTTTTTTGTAATCAAATCATAAAAATATCTTTATAAATGTATTGTAAATAAAATAATGAAAAGGCACGAGTTAGATGTAGTCATGAAGTGATAAAAAGTGTAAACTTTAAGTAATGGTATAGCTCTTTTAACAATATAAAATACGTATAAACTAAATTAGTTCTATGCATAGTCTGTAATATAGTTAAGGGATGGCAAACTAATGGCATTTATTGCCATTTTTTTCATAAAAAAACAAAAGTAGTAGTTTTAATTGGCGGAGCCATGAGGACCGTAGGATAGGAAGACCTAGGAGGAGTAAATGTTCGCTTTTCCTGCTATCGTGAATACTAACTTACTAATATTTGTTTGTGCATGGTTGCTAGAAGCAGATTCCGGTCAAGACGGGGAACATTCTTCATCGTCGCGGAAACACAAATCTGCTGACAAACGTTTGTTCAAAAGTTTTTCTCAGTCTTGTGTTTTGTGTGCACATTATTCATTTGTTTTCGGTAGAAATTTGAATTTTGTTTCAATTTCTTGTTAAAGTGTTTTTATTTTATTTGATTAGGTATTTTCAATTTTATCTGATCATTTATAGATATAGCATGTTAGTATTCAAATAAATTGAATAATGATTAATTAATTTATCGCGGAACATTTTTTTGTTTTATAAAAAAATCTTTGTTATTAAATTCCACCTCGTTATTGTATTCTCTCCCAATATTTTTCTTTACAATATAAAACTTTAGGCACAAACGCATTCAAACATATTGAAGCTATTAGCGCCATTTAAATAATACTATACTATTAATATTATTATTTTTCTTTATTGGTGAAAGTAGAAATTGCTTTTGACTTTTTTATATGATTTATTTATAAGCTATATGTTTTCTGCCTAGCTTTCTTTCAGTTTTCAAGTGTTTGGGGTATATATTATTTGATACAGGGTTATATGTTATTTTGTAATTAATTTGGTATCGTTTTTGTGCATCAATGTTAGACGCAGATTCCGGTCAGGAAGGAGATCAACCGCCTTCGTCTCGGAAACACAAATCTGCAGATAAACGTTTGTGCTCGAATGTTTTTAATGTTTTTGTATGTGTGTGTGTTGTTCAGTGTTATGTCGTGTTTTTTTTTGTTATGTTGGTGTCTATTTTTTATAGCATTATGGATTATAAAATTTTCAGTTTTGTTATGGAGGTTCGTTTGAATTTTTTATAGATATATATTTTTCTATGTATGTATTTATATACGGTTGAACTTGGATAAAAGAGTCCAAAGGATATTTTCTCGCTTATAGACTTTTCTCTTACTCGCTTGAGTTTCTCGCTTAATATGTTCTTACATAATAATAATCTTTGATTATTCTTCAAATTTTATTGCTTTTATTTAGCATATGTTTATGTATTTATATTTCTTTTACGACGTCATAAATTCTTTATGTAATTATCGTATTACATAACCTTTTTTTTATATTTTTAATGTATAATCTTTCTAAAGATTACATTTACAGTTTATGTTTTATGTATAATCTGCTTTAGTCTAATTGTTGTAGTTACATATTTTGGTGTTTGTATGTGGAACGTCAAATTCATGTTTTTTTTTTATCTTTTCTTCTGAATTGAATATATTTTTGTATGTATGGAGAAAGGATTTATTTAAAAATTGGTGTAGAATGAGTTTTATGTGTGGTCTTACGTTGCTTGATACGATTTGCACATTGCTGAATAGATTTCTGCGATTGTAATCTAATGACGATGATTGATTATAGGTAATCATAATTCTAATGTAAACATCATTTTTTTAACAAAACAACAACCTAAGTTGTAACTGCATCATCATCATCAGCTCACTATGCGTCCCCAAGGGGCTCGGAGTCTATCCTAAGTTAGGGTGACTAGGCCATAGTCAACCACGCTGGCCAAGTGCGGCTTGGTTGACTTCACACATATCTTTGAATTTCTGCTCAGATATGTGCAAGTAGCATCACGATGTTTTTCTTCATTGTAAGAACGTCGGATAAATGTACAGATGTAAATCAGAAATCGAAAAACACTGGTACACGGCGGGATTCGAACCCCGAACCTGCAGATTGCAAGTCAACTGCTCGACCCCCTGAGGCGCCGACGCTCTCTACTATTAGTTGTAACGTAATTTGTGTTATTCCAGAGTGTAATATATTTCTGTTCCAATTATCACTCAGATCCTTTTAGTCATTATGGTAACGTACATCCAATTAAACTTCTGCATTTATTAGAAAGATTTTGATTATATAATAGATAATATATTGTCGTAATGGTAACTAATATGTTATGGTTTTTGTGCATTAATGTTAGAAGCAGATTCCGGACAGGACGGGGAACAACACACGTCGTCGCGGAAACACAAATCGGGAGACAAACGTTTGTGCTCCAAAGTTTATTCTGGTTTTTGTGTGTGTGATTGTGTGCATAGATTTCTCGGTAGTATTCAGTTTTGTACAGTTTTGTTTTCGAGGATAATTGTTATATATATTTCTTTTAGCAGAGCATGTTCTATTTTTTTAAATGATTTTATCTATCAATTAAAAAAATACAGTTATAATTTGGTTACCAAATAGATTAAATATTGGTTGGTATTATTTGCAACTCGAAAGATTGGTATTAATTGAAATAAACGTAATTTCTTCAATCAATTCCTCAATTCTAAGTCGCTCTAGTCAAAGGATCAATGTAGCAAGGTGATCTTAATGGACTCTTCTCAAAAGTTTCTAGTAGGTTCTAGATGCAAAACTTTTGTTCGAAGTTCACACAATGCAGTTAATGATAGTTACTTATCTTAACTATTGTAAAACTAATAATTAACATTGAGTATTTAATGCAATTTAATTATAAATTAAGTTATGTAAATGTTGTGAAAGTTATTATCCCATAAAATATGTGAAATATATATATATATATATATATATATATATATATATTATATAGAGAATAGTATTTTATATATATATATATATTATATAGAGAATAGTATTTTATAATTTTTAATATCTTATTATTTCTTGTGTTAGAATAATTCAAAATTTAACTTTTTTATTTTCGTTTTGCACACGCAAATTTGCTTATTTATTATTTCTATTGATTTATCGGGTCAATATGTTATAGATAGAGTATAATTTTGCTGCATAAATTATTTGCATATGATAAAATGTTCAATATGTGCTTTTAATAAGCCTTTATCATATTTATTTAAATTTAGCTTTGAATGTTTTTTTTTAATGAAATAAAAATAGTTTTTATCAAAACTCCCGAGTACTAAAAAACTAGTGATATTATAATGTCGATAATAATAGGTGGAAAATCCCATAAATCGGTAGACAAAAAGAAACCATCGCCTTCTCGTCGCGGATCCTCAACTGGAGACACGGCTGGTAGTGGTAGCAAAAACAGCACACCAGCGCCCTCTCCGCAACACGCTGCCCCGGAACAAACACCTCCGCCACCTGTTAAAGGTAAAAATCTTAATTATATTGAAAATATAAATGCAATTTTTAATTTGTTACGATATTATTCCTAAATTCGTCCTTATCAAGTTTTGCTAACCCTTGATAGTGTTGATGTTTTAATAATACACCGCTTATGCAAAACAATCAATGTGGTCAGAACCCTGTGCTTTAGTTAATAAGTGATAAAAAAATTAAAAAGTTTGCTTACCTCTTGTTATAATGACATGACGAATCCGGCTTGATAGGACCAACTTGTCTCGCTTTTTCATCCATACAATTTTAACATTTATATATTGGAAATTTTATTGAAATTGTTTACTTTTTATAGTGTCGCCGGTATCTAATACCGCACACAACATACCAATCAACACAGCGAAGATACCACTGCCGGCATCCCCGCCTACTGTCAAGCCTACAGAACCTGCAGGTGTCGTCAATTCTACAGCAGCTCCAACTCCGACTGTCTCCTCCACCACTGTAACTACACCAAAGTATGTTTATTCTGTTTATTAATATATCAATATGATTACATTTGACTTTACTTCAATGAAGATTGTGAGAGTTCATTCAGTGGACATTATTTCAGAATCCTTTATGACTTTACTAGCTTACGCCCGCGACTCCGTTCGCGCGGTAAAAAATATATTTAGTAGCATATGTATTCTTCCAGACTGTGTTCTATATGTATGTCAAATTTCAGCAAGATCCGTTCAGCCGTTCTGAATATATCTTCAAACAAACATTCGTACATTCATCTAAACTTTCGCATTTATCATATAAATAATATTTTGATTAACTTATCCGTCGCAAGGTATACTATATTGTCATTGTTTTCAAAGGAAATATGAGGGATAGGCAGTCGAAAAGCATTATCTTTGACAAGGTTAGGGCAATTAAAAGATGCATTTACATTAACATATATGTGGTAATATTTTTTTATATCAAAACATGCAGAGATAATATCCCGGCTTTGTATCTTACAGTAGCACCCCCGTGTGCCTATCAATGGTGCCTTTGCCTCCATCGAAAAGCTCGACATATCAAGATAGCATAATTGCCAATATGGACAATGTAGAAACCAAACAGACAAAGAAGAGGAAGGCTCTCTCAGCTGCAAGTACACCGACCAGGCCTGTTGATTACGCCGCGACACCGCCTCATACTGCGGTAAGAATTTATCTCTTGTGTTATTCTCTTACGGCTTAAATTAATATTTTTATATGAAACGGCGTAAAATTATTGTACAATCGTTGTCCAAGTAATAGATCAGATTTATTGATTGTTGTTGTCATCTTTATATAGGTTACATTTGAACTAAATTGATTTTAAAAGGTAAAGGTCCGAGATTGAATATAATTTTCGGCTATTAGTAACCATTTAACAATTTAAATGTGTCGTAAGATTAAGGCCAATTAATAAACTTCAATTAAATTATTAAATATGTACGATAAGGCAGATTTATGAATGTTTTTCCATTTTGGTTTCCAGCCCAGTGATATGAGTGCCCCTAACAGCACCCCTGTCTGGGAAGGTGCTCATCCAACAACCGATGTACAGATGGATCCTGTTGACAAAGTCATCAAAAAGGTCAGAGTCGTTGATAAACTTTATATTATTACAATTCAGTTTAATTATTAATATATTAACTGCATTCATGGGTTTGTGACGTCACTAATGGTTTGCATTGGGATATGATCGAGCTTTATAATTAATCGTAGGATACCTATCTACAAAATCTCTGATGCTACTTTCACACGAAGGCGGGGCAGAGTAACGCAGAACCGTCGCAGTATTGCTATTTAAACGAACACTTACTGTCAAAAAAATAATGTCCTGTTTCTGCGTGATTAAACAATACCCGTACTATTCTGTTCTTGTGAAACTAACAAAAGAGATGCAATTTCCTGGCTATAGTTCTTCTAATCTGGCTTGGGTTATAAAGAAAAATTATGTTTTCATTATATATTGTGGGCTGTCGTATACATGTGCAATTCAGCTTACGAATACAGGCAAAGACTGAAGAACCACCGCCAGTGTGTCACTTCCCGAACTTGAGCCCGGCACCACCTCCGCCGCCGCCGCCCCCAGCTCACAGCCCTGCACTGATGCCGAGCCCGAGGTATGATTAATATATTATTTTTTATATGTCAACACTATGAGTGCCATCTTTTATCGTGTTTCAATACCCTGTAACAGTGGTAGAGAAAGAAATGGCCCGGCTCGCCCGGTGAAATACCACGACCACACAGAAGACAGACGTCAAGTGGAAGCAATTCCAAGTACAGTCTGATGAGTGTGCGTCCCGGGGGCCTTATTTACTCCTCTTTCTCTTCCTGATGGGGAGTGGAAGTGGACTAAAAATATGAAAAAAAAAAACATCTATATGTAACTTTACTTTTACATAACTTAACTTTAAATTTGATAAAATATATTTAATGATTTAATTTAAAAAACTTGTGGTAATTAAATTAAAAAAAAATGTACCATTTATTTTTGTATTTGAGTATATAAAAATTGTCTCCTTTAAAAATTATTTGTGATTAAATGTTTATATGTAATTTTTAATTAATATACAGATATACTTCATAGATGAGTTTTTTCTCAGACATCTTCCCAGTCCTAAACCAGGACCTAGCGGAATAAATAGCGTTAGCAACATGAGGTCGCCATCGCAGCTCCAGGTTTGTATGGTTGTTGCTTATTGCGATTTTTCTGAATATGATGCATAGACTTACGCTCTGTTTCCGAAAGATATGTCTATTTATCCTTGCGTCTATTTGACTGACATGTCTAAACAGTCTGATTAACTATTGAACAGACGTTAAAAAATCCAAATTAAATTCGAATTTTATCTAGTTTTTATGTGGTAACTTATCGGAAACTGAACGTTATTGTTTACAAACGTATTCTTATTAATTTATCTTTGTTTTTCAACGAAAAAAACATTTGAGTTCAATAAATGATTGTTATTTGGATGTCAATAGTGTTACAGTGGGTTTCTGAGTTCACAATCTCCGTTTAAAACATAGTGTCATCTCTGTGTTTTCAACGACAGGTATGACGTTATGTTTTATACATACATTTTGATCTCGGATACCCAAGTTTAGTCTACTCTGGTATAGTTTATGTCACGCTTACATAGCTTTTGAAAGTCTATACGCGAGCATGTCGCCTTTAAATTATTGTTGTCGAAGCTAGATTTCTGTAGAATTTCAGTAATTAGATTTCATCTCTTTGCTTTATATAATAAAGTCGTAATTACTTTGGTATGTGGAAAATGCGTAATTTGTTTTACTTTTATGAAAATGTCAGGCGATAGAATTCAATTTTCAGTTAATTAAGCAAAAGTTTTCAAAATTATAATTTGTACCATCTTATCATCGTTCATAGGTTTTTACAAATTTACTCTTTACTCTAAATTCTTGCATAATATTAAATATCTCTTAAGAATAAACACTATGTCTTGAATTATTAATTTAATGTTTGTTTTATTATGTTATAATTAAAAAAAACAACGAATAAAACTACAAAAATACTTATAAAAGCTATTTTTGTTTAAATGGTTTCAAAATTTACTAAATGTTTTCAATAAAAAAAGAATACAAATGTTTATATTTTCAGCTTGGAACTTTGAATTTTTTTGAATTTGTCAAATGTCCCTTGAATTTTTAATTTTGTCACACCCTTGCGCTATAAATTGTGTTTGCTTTTGATGTGATTAAATTCCTGACTGACTTAAAGGTGATGTTCTGCTCCTGCGCCTGATTTTCTTAGCATGATTGATTTTAAATTGTGTCATTTTTCCTATCTTGCTATGTTCCTATGCCGTGGAGTCAGTCGAGTTTATTGTTTGTTTAATTTATGTATTGCTTGTAAAATTGTGTCTAACATACGTGTATGCTAATGCGTGGACTAATCGCGTGGGTTGTATAGGGTGGGAAGTCCGAGCGGGACCCGGCCACATCGCTCCTAGTGTCGGTGCCCTTGCCGTCTGCCAGCCAAGGTCTCAACCTCACCGCGCATTCACAGATCCCCATCTCGATGGCACACGCAATGCCATACCATGTACGACATGTTATTATACTAATAAGGCGATTATTTTAAGCAGCCTAAGGGCTCCATCATTTACCGATTAATGAATGATCGTGGTTTTGAATCAAATTTTAAGAATTTGTACAAAGTTCATCAAAGCAGATAACAGTTTCTTAGTGGGAAAACTACAGTATGTTAATTATTTGGACATATTTGTTATGGTATTGGTGAATATGCCATAATTAATGTAAAACAAATTATCACATAGTCCACGTGTATTAATTTAATTATTTAAATTTTTATATCAACACAGTATATTTCAATATAGCTTATATTAGAAGGTATTTAAATTAAAATAGTAAATATTAGGTAGTGCACTAAATTTAATAAATTGCAATTTTAGAAACACACGCTCGAAAAAACATGAATTAGTGAGTTCTCTTTTGGGGAGCTATTTATTTAAATTTTAAATCTAGCAAAAATTGTTTCAATACTATGAATATTTTATTATAATTGTAGTGAAAATGATAATTGTAATTAATTTTATCGAATGTTAATTAATTTTTATATTTTTGCTGCATTGGAAAGGAGTATCATCTGCTATCAGTAAGCATATCTAAAGTTATATTTGCTTCGCCTGTTTATAAAATATCACAAAATATTTAAGCATGTGTGTTATAATATCAAACAAAGCTTAGCTTTGCAATTTACACAAACAACTTACAATTTAAATTCACATAAAAGTATAAAAAAAATTGTCGAAAAATAAATAATATTATCAAAATATAATAAATATTCATTTTTTTTTCATTTAGATTCCACTATCCGAGTTGCCTGGCCCTTCTTCGCATGTATTCCATCAACCACCAAAACAGGTAAGTTTGTTTATTATTCTATAGTTATAATACAGTGGTAATTTACATTTGCAATTAATAAAACATATAATCGTCATCCCTGTCATTATCTCTGAAAAAACAAGGATAACGATATGATTTAAACGGAATTTTTGGTGTCAGAAAACCACAGTTACACGACTACTACTATACAGTATGTAGTCTTGTTCATTATTTATGACAGTTCTTAAGTTCTATATGAAATATAAATTAAAGATAGTAAAAGATTACTTGTCCGACTATTATATCATGACTATTGATAGCCTTATCGGTTAATCAAGACACTAAATAAATACTAAGGTGAAATATGTGTTTATGCAATGTCTGTTCGAGTTATCCCCCTTATAGATATGCCAACGCCCAATATTTGTGTTTTAACACTTTATCTTAACAGGTAAACGGAACTTCTCTATCTTATAATAAATGCAAACAAAGCCTTAGTGTCGTTCGATATGTTGTTAGTTACAGTCAAACTAAGTATAAGCGAGAAACTTCTATAAGCGAGAGTCAGGGTACGGTTCTGACGGACTATCTCTGAAGTGAGAAACTCGGGTAGAAACCTAGAAAAATATAGCTCTCTAACTCGAAAAATATCAAGAAATATGGACTCTCGCTTATCCAGGTTTGACTGTATGTTGTAACGAGCATATAATAAAAACAATTAACTTTGAAATATAATTATTACTTACCAAGGTCGATTCTTTTATTACAACCCACTATAGAAATGTTTTTTATTGCAAAAAACTTAAAACACAATATTTTACAACTTAATAATAACAGTTTTTATTACTTAAATAATTAAACATTTAACTTTCTTTCTTTTTATTGAATATTGCAAATACAGTTGTACTGAATGTACCAGTTTCCTAGAAATAGCATTTTGGTGATAATAGAACCCTAGGGAAGTAAACGTTGCGATTTTGTACCTGCTTCCCATCCCCTGACTACCTGCGTTGCGCCGGCGCATACATGTGCTTGCCATTCAGTTCGTTCACGACGCCGGTTTAGGCAACATCTGCTACCAGTAGCCCCATTCAATTCTCTCGTACCATAAAAAAAATACGTTGCCAAAATGTTTAAGTGTCCTACATATATTGATATTAAATAAAAAATTATGTGAAATTAGTGTCAGAATATTTTTTTTTGTAAAATGGTAAGTTCGTATTTTGACGTTAAATAAATTTATATTAGCAGTTGGAAGAGTGTCGCGGTCGCACACATTTAGCACATAATTTTGTACACAAATGTTACGCACGTGTTACAAATATGACCTAAATTAGTTGAAAAAAGACTGACTCAGATCAATCCTCTGTACGTAGATAATGTAAGTAGTGTTCATTTATCAAATAATTGCCAACGTTATTATAATATATTCCTTATATTTTGCACAATTATTATTAAGTAATTAATGGAGCTTAGAGTTTAAATTTTTACTACCGTTATACAAATAACTGTTTTGTAAAGTATAAAAATAAATTGTAATATTTTGAAGTGTTCAATAGTTGTTCGAACAGATGTAAGAAACCCAGTTACGATTCTACAATGATCAAAAAGTAAGGGGAATATTTCCCCTAATATTTAGCCCTTCTTGATACAATTTGAATGAGAATAACACATACAAAATACGTTGTATAAGTTTTCATACATATATTTATATACGCAAAGTATTTTGAATAGAACGAGTAGTAGATAATGATGGTAGAAACGTAAGAAAATAATGTGTCACGTAAGATTTCGTACTAAATTAAGCTTCGTCCGCGCCTGTGTTCTTCTAGACTGTGTTTTACATCCATGCCTAATTTATTTATTTATATTTGATATGTTTGTTTCAGGCTGCTATGGACCCAGGTGTTCCCAGTCACTCGCCTCATGCTATACCAGGCAGATCAACTTGGGGCGGTCTTAATGTCTCCTACGAAATGCAACACGATATCAACAAACCTGGGTAAGATTTAATAATTTTAATTTTAAGCGTTTATTCATAAGTTGTCATATAAGTACGCGAAGCGATATATATGTTATTTTTAAGGAAATATAGCGAACAGAAAAACATAAAATCGAGACAGTTAAAGTTTACTTTTTCTAAAACTATCATTGAGCCACCATATTACTATAGCGAAGGAGAGAAGAAATAACAATATACTTTATTATTTACTATACTAAACATTAGCCTGCGTCAGTTTACAGTTGCTCATTGTATCCTAATTTGTAGCCTGTTAAAGAATTTTGCATACGCAGTATGTGTCATTTGCTAGCGAATATCCATAGCTTCTCCTCTTTGCGCTTGCTGCACAATAAAAGATATAGTAATGTATTTGACTAGCTTTGCGATATTTTAATTAAGTTATCATTATCTGTATGCGATAATTTTCTATAAATATATAATTTTTGGAGCGATAGAAAAGTAATTTAGTTCGTTTGTGTGAATCAAGCTCATTATTTAATTATTACTACTAATACTGTGATTAAGTAATGAATTAAAAATAATAAATTAATGAATTCTAAAATTAGAAATATTTTCGGGATAACGTAATTAATGAAGAATTAATGCTATCAAAATACTCTTTTGAATTGCTCTCGCTAAAGCGAACGCTATGCGGTATAAAGTTTCCTTTTTGTACTCATATGTTCCATTGTTGCTAATAAAGTTGCTAAGGCGTTATAATTTACTACATGCCCCAGATGCGAGATTTTTCTGTATTTATCAAAAATAAATAGTGTTAAGAATCGACAAGATCTACTGTTTTTAATCTGTGGAGAGTAGACAGCTATGCGATGCATTTACTAAAATTATTTGATTTAAATATGAAGGAAACAAACCTATATATAATATATTATAAACTTAAATTGCGTGCTTTGCTGACAAAACGTATGACCTTGTGATGAATGTACCTAAATATAAAGGACGATATGCTGATTAAATGTCCTTTAATGTTGTACTTCATTCCATACTGCGAAGCGTAACTTTGGTTAATTTATACGTAGTAATTTAAATTCTCTTTGACGAGATAATGTGTTAAAAATATTGCTTCAAAGTATTTTGTTAATTTAGTTTTTAAAAGCATTGGTTTGCGAAAGATTAAAATATGTGAAGAGTTTTATCGTTTATAATGTGTGCTAATAGTAAGAAATCAAATGTTATTTGAAATTTAAGAAATGAGCGATTGTTGATAATTTTTTGAATAACTTTGCGAGTTCAGCTAATGCCAGTTTATTGTCTTCTACTCGTATTTATTAAACTTGTAACCTATTATGTCTGATATATCCGTCGTATCATTCTTGAGATTGTCGCGTTTTCGCTTCTGCTAAGTAAAAGCTTTTGTTTTAATGTTACTTGAATTATATAGCGATATATTAACGTAAGATATTAAAGCCATGTGAATATGGTTTCTAACATGTGTTATTGAGCGTAAATTAATTTGTTGCCACCTTAATATTTCTACATATGAAAGACGAGAAAACATATAAAGATAAAGTACCGAGTGATTAACAAGTTATGGTCCGATTGGTGCGATTTTGCTTATTGTCCCTTGTTTGAACTCTTTAGTCAAGTCGTCGGTACTGGTATAAAATTCATGTATACATATCTGCAAATTCAACAGATATTTCTGCTTATATGATGGAATTAGATGATTTATTACTATTGACTGATTATTTTACCTGTTTCAAATAATAAAAGATAATTTTAATTCTACTTCAGACTAAGCGGTTTACCTGGAACAAGCAAGGATCTAAATGCTGCGGCCATGAGCCCGGTACCGGGGGCTATTAGGAACAAGAAACGCGCTGCGGTATCCTCTACCCTAGTCTCCATGTCGACCGTACCACCACCTACTCCGATGCGTGAGTTATAAGTTTTCATATAACACCGAGAAATTCTATTGTGCAACATATCGTCGTCTCTGTTTATTCCAAAAACAATGAGAGAGACGGAATGTTTTAAACTTGTTTTGACTGTAGAAATCTACAGTTGTTATATGACGAAATGGCGGTTTGGAATTTTGTAAGAGGATTAAAAAGTTTGCAGGATGACGCATTGCGCACCAAACTCGCAGTTGACCCATTCCATATCTCCACTCATTTCATATTCATTTATCAAATCTAAGGCGAAAAGCTTATCAAGTGATCTCTAGTGACCAGTTTGCTATTTCATAAAAATCAAACATTTATAACATGGCCACACATACATAGCCATAAAATACACTGATATTAGTTTCATAAGTAATTCGGGCATACATATTTTTTTTTCCAGATTTAGTTATTTACCCAATGACACATAAAAATGATTTTATTTTTAAATAAGTATGAAAATTATTCGCCTTAAGTAAAGCTTTTTTTAACGTTCTTTATAATTTTCAATTGCATACGTCATCAAAATATCAAAACGATGCCTTTTAAACGACCCAGTTGATTAGCTTATAAATTAAATTTATTAAAAAAAAAACCACAATCCACTTACTGTCCTTGTCTGTAATTAAAAAATACAAAAAAATCTAATCCCATATAAATTTTTCGTTCTTATGTAGAGCGCAATTTCCTTAGTAACATATCTGGCTGTTTGCAATTTCGATTAAGAAATTGTTTCTCACTTTTGATCTATTCTGTCTTGATGGCTGTCAATTCAAGCATGTTTATTGAAAGTTTCGTGATGTGGGCGTGCGACGATTTTCCTTTCATTTGGGAAAAAATAAATTACCTCCGCAGAATTGCCCACGACACATAACCTCGCGAACATCCGTAGGCCGCCCCTGGCTACACCGCCGCTAATGTACCAAGACATTAAAGATTCTCCGCCAAGTTCACCCAGTGAGTATAGCGAAATGCTTTATTTGCGATATAATATTCGCTATTAGGAAAATTAGTAATATAATTGGCTTCAGCTTTCTCTAAATTGTCATGCCTGGCAACGGACTTGAGGGTAGAGTTATAGGCGATAAATATATCCACATCTCGATTTAGATAAAGATTACCACTTTGTATAGCGCTATCTCTCTTCCACAAAGGTCACATTCACAGAAGTGTGTGACAGAGATAGCGATATACAATTATGATATCTCTTTCCAAAGCGAGATGTGCAATATTGCCTTTAATTGCATTTCCTTTAACCATAGTTATTATTATTGATAGCTTATTTATTTCTATGATTTATCAAAAAATACGTAGTATGCATAAAAAAATTATTTACGTACACAGTATCTACGTTTTGTTAATTACATTATATTAATTAATATAATCTGTATCCAAGTTGTAGTGGACCAACTAATGATTCCATTACACGTTATAATAATAAAACACTAATTATAAAATGAATCGATTTCCTCTTTTGTATTTTAATAATTTTCCTCAAGCCAAAACATACATTTAAAACGTACTATGTGTTATAGTATGTTGTTTCTGTTTTGCCTTGCTTTAAGTTCTAAAGTAATTGTTATAATATATTTATTACTTTAAAATACAAATTTTAATAACTCAAATGTGACTATTCTAATGTCTACATTTTTCGTAATTCGTAGGCAGTGTAATTTGTAAAGTGACTAGTAATCTATTTTGTTTCTACAGTTTTTTTTATTTGCTTCTTCAAACCAAAATTGTTTTGCTTTTTTATGTAGTTAGTTATTTAGTTAATTGTTTTTGTATGGAATTTAGTAGTTTTGTTAATTTATACTACAAAGGAAAGGTAATATCCACATTCAAATTACATATAACTAGTGAGAAACACATAAAACACTTCAGGTCATTCATTTTTCATAGTTTTTACATTTCAAGTGACATTTTATGGATTCAAAATGAAACGATTCGAAGTTAAAAAAGCAACTCCAATCTATAGCTAAGCAAAGGTATTATTTGTTTACAGATTCTGAACGTCCCTTGAAACCTAAAATGGAACATAAGTAAGTAATAATATGTTGTATTCCTTTATTTTTCTGAAAAAAAAATAAGATTTATGACAAACAATGACATTACTTTTTACAACTATTGCTACTATACTCTATATCAGTGGTTCCCAAACTTACTTTGTCTATTGCCCACTTTGAGAAAAAATATTTTTAGCGCCACCATATTTTCACATATTTAAAAACCACTATAACTTCAAATTAAATTAATTTATTTAATGCGACCTATATATGTATATTAACGGAGAATTTTAAACGAAACTTTTACTATAACCCGGAACTTGAGACCTGCAGCGCCCACAAGGGGGCGTTATCGCCCACTTTGGGAAAGACAGCTCTATACTATATTGTATGCTATTTAGGGAATTATTTTATTACTTTAAAAAACTTATAAATGTTGTTATGAAGTGTGTACAGTCGTATCGGCGCAAATTGCACCGCACCACACATGTTGGGTAACGAATTGAACCCGGAGAGCGGTGCGGCGGCGCGCCTGCAGGAGCAGCTGAGTGCGGAGTTGGCGGCGCACGCGGCCGGCGGCATCGGCGTTGATCCACTAGTACCTCCGCCACTTATCAACAGAGCTGCCCCGGTGAGCAATATTAACATAGTCTGGCTCAGGGGTTTAAGCACTTGACATGTAATCCGCAGTTGCTGGGTTCGAATCCCGCCATGTACCAATCTTTTCGATTTACATATGTCCATTTATCCGATGTTCTTACGGTGAAGGAAAACATCGTGATGCAACCTGCACATATGAAATCAACCCCCACTGGGCCAACGTAGTTGATTATGGCGTGTTATCACATTCATTATATTAATTGACTTTTAGATCAAACGTTATCGCTAATCGTGTGTTACTTTGTCTAGGGGAGCTGGCCTGGTGAGGGTAGCTCTGCTATTGCGGTAAGTTCCATCAGAAATTATACTTTAGGCCAATTTAATAGATCACATTTGACGTCTACCAGTTTAAACTATGTAGTGAGGTGTTCTTTAAAACATCGATTAAATCGATGCAGACAGTTCTTCCAGACTATGTCATCCATACAAAATTTCAACGTTATCCTTTAAGCCGTTTTGGAGATACCTTCAAACAAACATCCATCCATCTGGATATTTATTCGATTTATGATATAAGTAAGCTATTGAAATAATGTAATAGTATTGATTTTTAAATATTTTTATAGGGTGTTAGTGGTTTGAGTGGTCGTGGGGCAACATCGAGTGCTCAAAGTCTAGACCAGTTGCTAGAAAGGCAATGGGAACAAGGCTCTCAGTTCCTTATGGAACAGGCTCAACATTTTGATAGTAAGTGCTATTACATACATGTTCAACTATTGGAGAGGGTAAGTTTAAGCTAAGAATAAAAAAAACCATGTTACTGTGAATTTCAATAGTCGTGACATCTATTTATCATCTCTTTTTTTTATAATAAGATGGATAAGGACAGCAATAATACGACATTGGAAATTCATTGTTAATTAAAAAGTGGCCGTAAATGTACGAAAGCAGGCAATTTAAACATAACTCGTTATATAGTTGCATGGATATTCCTGCAAGAATTTCGTAATTAAGTTGCCAACGCTTTAGTGCTTTTAATGTAAAAATTTTATTTACTATTTACCCCTACAAGTGATAACCCTTAGAAATATTGTTTTATTTTTCTTATATGTTTAGATTTGATGTATTATCCCTCTTATTTATATTGCACCAACTTTATTTTTAAATTATTATATAATATAATCTGGGAATATTGATTCAAATTTCATGTTAGCTCGGAACTTTTAAATACAAAAAAACGTCTGCATAATCGATGTAGGCTAGACCAAATGTTTGAGTTTGATTACAAAATATTAAATTTTTTTTCTTTTATTAACTTTTAGTTTGAGGGTTTTTCAGTACTTAATAAATACGCGTTTATATAACGTTGTTTTTTCCTTAATTTTTTGTAACAGTAGCATCATTGCTGTCGTGCCTGCATCAGCTCAGAACGGAGAATGTTCGTCTTGAAGAGCATGTGGGGAGCCTGCTGCAAAGGCGGGACCATTTGCTGGCCGTTAATGCCAGACTTGCTATTCCCCTCACCGCTGCTGGTACGTTAAATTAAAAAAAAATTGAAATTAAACTACTTTTAAATATTTTATCGATTATATTTAATTTGTGTTTACATATAAATTGAATACCATCGATAAAAAATCATGCCACTAGCGCAATACGTGCGAAAGCGGATCGGAAACATTTCGCTTCGCTTTCGTGGTATTTTGCTAGAAACATAAGTAGTTTAATTTCACAATGTAGAAATCGCGTTAATATAATAAATAATTAGAGCAGTTCAAATTAAATAAATGAAAGAAAGCGTGCTTTCTTGGAAATGGACTGAAATGGGGACTTTGCTTAAGACTGAAATCAGACTTTACCTAAACAATAAGGCACGAATATCTACACAATGATGTATTAATATCTGAAACTGGATCTGAATCTGAATCTAGATAAAAAAATATTTAGAATTCTCTGGGCAACTAGTATTAGGCAGTAAGTATTACTTTATTTTATTTATTTGTGCTTTTATTATATACAGTTTAATTTTCAATCTTAATGTCATCACGTAGAGTTGATTTCACAAAACTTTAGATAAAAGTACAAGAATGCTGAATTCCATATGCATGAACCTAAATATTGCGCTTTTAAATTATTATCAATAAAGTTAATTGTTTTTTTTTAAAATAAAAATGATGCTATGCATTTTCTACAGACGTGATCCTGATTTTTTTTTCTATTTTTTTTAAACCAGTCAGTGCTTGATGTTAGATTCGATGTTTATTTAGATATGAGTTGTTTAAAGCATTAGTTGTATATTCATATGCGCAAAACTTTGCAAAAACACATTTTCCTCTTTTTTATAGATGACATGCTTAGTTGTATTTCTTCAATGGAAACCATATTATTATATGTGCAAAAAAGTATAATGCAACGCTTTTCAAACCGAATAACTAAGCAATAGCACAGGTAGAAATAATTTGTAAGTTAGTCTTAGAAAAAAAAAGAAGTAAAGCAAATAAAAAAATCTATAACCACAAAAAGAACTAACTACAGTCATTTAACATAAGGAATATGTAAACAAATAGAACAGACCAAGTGTCTATAGACGTCATTTATTTAAAAGAATATAGTCACTATATTTTTACAGATATATTTGTGTTTTTTTAAATCTCTTGTCTTGTTAAGATTGATTAATACATTTGTGTGCAGTGGCAGCAGGTCCTCCGGAGCCAAGTCGATGCATGCGCGATGTGCCACAACTGCGAGCCACGCCCGGCCCTGTCCGACCTAACGAAACTATCACCTCGGAGCGTTCGCATCAGGTACAATACTAATTATTTTTATAACCCTTTTACCCATATAGTCATCTCATTCATTCTCTTTGAAAAACTAGAGAAGACAATATGTTTAAGTTGTAACATGAATAGAATCTATCTTAAAAGAATAAGAGGGTTTAGAGTTATAAAATCCCACAAACATATTTGGTCTACTAAGAGAGCCGCGTTAAATGTGTATAAAGTTCTCTCAGAAAATATGGAAAATATTTAGGTATAGTATACATCTACAATAGGATGGATTGGGAAAGCTGACCCCACCTTGTGGGATGCAAGCTAGGCAGAGAGAGATAGAGAGCGAGAGAGAGACAAAGATACGACTACAATAGGTCCAGATAAGATTATGGCACTTCTGTGTATATGTAATCAGTAGGATTTCCATTCCTTTTTTTCCTTTTTATTACTATCTCTTTAATTAATCCTTTTTTCCAAAAATAATGCTGGCCACCTAACTTTTTTTTATAAAAGTTGAGACTATTTAAAAAAAAATGAGCAGTTATAAGTATAAATCATTTGATGTTATCATAAGGTACTACGACATTATGTAACCGTAACGTAAATGGTCGACTGTTTTACAATCGATAACCAAATTACTGTTGTTAGCATGGAAGGCATTTTAAAAATTCAAAACCTCGCCGGCAATTTTCTTTAGCTCCGATAACTTAAAAATTTCAACAACCGGCTAATATCGTATTCAAAGCTACGTTAAAGGTTACTATAGAAAAAAGTGGTTGTTATCGATTACTGGACTTACCTAGTTTCATTTAAATGTTAAAAAACATTTGTCCTATTTAGTTACATGAAAACAGCGAACGTAACAAACTCAATAATAGCTTTACCCTTGCAGTTTAGGAAGTTGTTTGTGTTATAGCAAAATAAAAATCCTAAAATCGAGTCCTGTTGATTTGATTCCTGGATATTGCAGGTTTTTTTATTTATATCCTTATTCCATATCCTTTATCACATACTCTATTACCATATAGAATCTTTGAAGGTAGATTATTTTTACTGTTTATTTAAAAGTTATATCGCATTCGTAAACTTCTCGCCTACCTGGCACCGCATCGCGTTAGTCCGATTGAGCAGGAATATGAGGTATAAATTTAGTCTATGATACCAGAGGGCTTATCACGAATATTTACGATATATGTGCCATCGTAACGTCTTCTTCGGGATATCTCAAAAGTTTGCGTACTTTAATACGAATTTGGTATTAACATTTGTAAAAACATTCTTACTAGGTCGTAGTGAGAAGGTAACTAGTACGCTATAGTGGAGAAGAGTAGGGTAAATTCACTATGAGTAATATGAGTGCGGCTGTATATCTGTTTGTTTGTTTTAATATAGCTGATAATGCGCGAGGTGCAGCAGCAGAAGCCCAGCTGAAACCAGGAGAGTGGCGGCGCGGCCGAACCCAACGCGCTGCGGAACGTACAAACGTACATATATCTCGAGCAGCGCCGCCGCCCTGATTTCTCCATCGACTCTATACTCAATTACGATAACTAGATCAATGTCTAAATCGATATTTACCATCAGAAAGTAATCGATGTTGAAAAAAAACTTTTAGAACGCGATCAACTTGTGTTTGTGTAGTTTTAATTTAGTGTAATGATACATTACGCTGGGTGTTGACTGTCGTGATACTTGTAATAAAACAATGACATCCTATGTGTCAAGAGTCATGACAGTCGCAATCCAGTGTTATATTGTCAATCGTATCCTAAATTTCTAACTAATGCATTATTAATACTAGGATACTATTGACGATTTACAATGCAAAAATAAATCGCAAATTGTCATCAAATAACAATGATATTTGACGGCAATTATCAATTACTTAATAAATTATAGTCTAAGAGCTAGTGGAAGTAAACCTTTACCCATCTGATACAGATGAGACGTTTTTTTTTTATCAAATATTATTAATCAACAAACACGCGTATGATAACTTCTATCGAAGTCTTCATGGCTATATTTAATTGAATTATTTTTTTTTTGTATATAAGTAAAATATCAATTTGGATTAGTTATCAGATCGTTGTAATAGTTATATAACTTACATCTTTATTCATCGTTTTCATTTATTAAATTAAATTTGTAAAGTTTAGTAGTCAAAAACATTTGTGGAAAAAATACGTCCTATTTGCTTAACTGATGGCTGAAGGTCGACCTCTTAGTCGTTTCTACTATTATACTAAACAACTTCGTAGTAGAAGGTTACCTAGACTTAGTTCAAAGTAACATATTGAACTTATATTAAATCTATTATGGAACACCACCGGACAAACGAACTCTCGAATTGACTAAAGACGGAATAATCGTCACAATAAACGGCTAATGACTAAAAAAAAACTACGTATTAATGACGAACGAAATGTATATTAATTACCAAAAATTACGGACAAAATAAATTTGAAGTAATTCTATGAAAAGACTTATCGAATAAGTGAAGTAAAAAGGAAGACTTTTACCTAATTGCAGTTTGATTATTTGCGCTCAGTGAAGTAATGATCGAGTGAATATTAAATATGTTTAAACGTGTTTACGTATTGCTCTCAATATAATGGACAAAGTTTGACGTGAATTTTAATGTTTATAGTAATTAATTGGTGTATTACATGTTTGCTTATAACTAAATGAATATAACGGCCTCTATATATGTTTACTATATGTCATATTATCTTTCTTTTATTAATTTTTGATATTAATTTCGATTTATATTGTTTTACTCCCTTAAAGTATCCGTGGTTTTACACTGTCGGAGAAAAATAAGTAATTTTATCCTGTCATTATCATTGGAAATTCTCAAATTTGTTTGTGTACTTTGGAAAATTACGTTTAAATATTTATTTTGTCAGGTTAAGTTTTAAAATTTGAATTTTTTTTTTTAATTTTTTAATTTTAATTATGAAATAAATTAATGTATATAAATGAAGTATTCGTGTCTCATATAATATTCAATATTACATTCTTTTTTTAATAACAATTACAATTGTATTATTATCGATATACTTGTTTAAATCTTGATCTTAAATATATATGTATGTTGGTGTAAACATAATATGTCGTCCATGTTCTTAAAATTTTAAAATTAAAAAAAAATAATGTATGTTCGTATATTAATGGAAGTCGTACAAAAAGCGGCGTAGATGTTAAATTGATGTTTAAAATAATTTTTATTGTGTCCATCTGTTTAACCCTTCACCCTAGACTTGTGTTTCTTGCATTGACATATATTGGTATCCCTTTCATTTTGTTTGAAAAAACAGAGACAACGATATGTGTCAACAAAAGAAGCGCATCAGTCGATTTCCAGCGGTTTAATCCACTTATTGTGATATTTAGTTTTTGACTCTTTCGGTATCCAGTTAATACCAAAATCTGCAAAATTCCATCTATAACATCGTTGTTAGTAAAATACGATAATTTGAACTGAAATTCTTGTAGTTTTAAGACACTGCTATAAGCATTTTATGTCGATACGTAAAAATCATTAATTGAGTCTTTTCGAATTTCGAACAATTTTGAATTTATAAATTTTTTGAATCCCTTTCCAGTCGTTTATTGACCAGGGTTCAATTCCAAATGGTATGGGTATTTAGATAGCGTCGGATATATTTATAGGTATGCTTTTTAAGATGTAAGACTGAACATCCAAAATTTAAACAACTAAGTAATTATTGTAATTTTACTGTGACCTATTTATAAATTTAATTACAATTGATAAATGATTATTTACGAGATAATAATTTCGATTCCCTGTTAAAACATTTTAACAGCTTTGATTCCACCTATGTTACTCTGTCAATATTTTTACGATGATGTTGAGATATAGTAATACGATATGTTGAATGTTGTATAACTTTTATTGCGAATATTGTATGTATATGTTTAAATGTATTGCTTCAATTGTCGCTTATATCTTATGTCGAAAGACTATATTATTTTAGGTAACGTATAGTTAGTAAATACACGTAATGTTTCGATTTAATAAAATTATCACCTCTTACTAAAGACGAAATAATGAACTTTATTTCTATAGTTCGAATAAATTGATGGAGAAAGTCCGCTGTACAAAAGCAGATGTAAAATACCTACTCAATATAAAATTTCTAACTGGTTATAATTTTATTATATTCCAAACTGTTTATTGTTCAAGTCTCAATATAATAAACGTAACGTAAATATATTAGTGTTAACTCCGATTATAAAACTCGGTGTAGATGAAATGTTTGAATATATATATTACATAAACTAACCTGCCAAAACCTTCATCCAATTTACCTAAGCCCAATTTACCTAAGCCCCTAATTAAAATGTTATTTACTATGTACTGTAATAGACAATGTTTAATATAAATTTATATGTGTATCATACTAAATAATTCACTCATACATAATGATTCGGTAAAGTTAAAGGAACCCTGTCTCAGATGAAAAAAAAGATTCTTGAGTTTTTGAATCACCAAAGATTCTTTTTGAACTATTCCTGTTCCTAGGGTATTCCTATTGGCTTACTCCTATTACATTAGCAAATACTATCTCTTATTGTCATTATACGATCTAAACACATATGAAATTATATGTATGTACAGTTAGGTATGCTCTCGGTGTTCCACATTTAAAGCCGTAATCATTTAACAATCATTTTTAACTGGAAATTTTGAACATCGGTTAATGTTATACTACCGAATTGTAAACAACCCTTGATGTTTATACTATTATTGGTTTTTAAGAATAGAGTGTAGTTTAGGTGGATTGTGTTCTTCTAAGGCATTTCTAGTCCACCGCGAATGTTTCCGACTGTACGTATTGATAACCTTTAAATGTTTTAAAATGATTAATTAAAAATATAGCGGCTTTAAATGTTTACTCGGTGTTTAATTTATAATAGTCTCAAATGTTGTAATAAATGTGTTTAGTCAGTAAATTTAAAAATTACTAAATGTTATCGATATGTCTGATTTTTGATTTGCTTTGAATATTATAATTTGTATTGTGAAATTGTTTTAGGAAATTATTATTTGATATTCAGTACATTCTATCAGTATTCTTTATTGGAAAATTATAATTAGTTTGCGTGTGAGTAAAAAAGAAAATTGATTTGGGTTATTGAATTGGATTAATTCGGAATTATTTATAACTTCATCTTTGAAGTGATCTCGGTGTATTGTTAATAATGTTAGTTGCTACCCGTGCAGAATAACATGAGAGCTAAGTACAATGTTACAATGGCCTGCACAATATACAATAAGGTATGCTCTATGTAGAGAAAAGCATAATAACTTATGTTACTTTGTTATTATGCACTTGTAGTATGTTTTATCTGGACTTGTACGTTTTATTATATTTCAGTTTTTTTTTTATAATCGACTATATATAAGATAATGACTTCAATATTGTCAAATGGTTGTTTTTTTTATGTAAAATGAATTTGTGGTTTTAAATACATCTAGATGTTATATTATTGGCCGTTTTAACTAAATATCGTATTAAGATTATTTTGCCTAATACGTTGTGATACGAAATTATTTAGCATCAACTTTGACGGCCTAGCGTCCTGATTATGACTTACGTTTACTCACGATTTTCGTATTTTAAATTTATAGAATAAATTAATTTAGTGCTGAAATAAAAATTACTAAACATAAGGCAGTTAAGAAAATCAAATTATTAATTTTATAAGAGTATGAAAACGTCTGAATTTTTTTCTAAAATAAAAATATTGTCCATTATTTTAGCTAGATTTTAACTTCGCCTAACAATTGAGTACTTAATATACTGATCTCGTTAAATATATGCTGGATAGGTCGATACTAGGTAAATACAGCTTTTGCATCGTTCAGACTTAAAAGCGTCACACCGCTACCAAACGCATTCGGCGTCAAAATTGTGAAAATCAAATAGTCACAAAATAGCACGGCTTATAGCCTGTCCAGTTAAATATAGAGGTCGTTGCCTAAATGTGTTTGATGCTTCTTTTAGTTAAAACGGTCAATAATTATCTTTCAAAGCATTTATGTAATCTACAGTTGTCTATTGTAAAACGTTCTAGTAAATAAATATTTCAAAAATAAATAATCTTTTTATTCATTTTTTTGTACCATTTTGTCTAAAAAAAAAGTCATTTACAGTGGTCATTATTTTTGACATTATTAATTATTATATTAGGTCATATACAGACCGTTGTTTGCAATTGCCGTTAAAAAACAGGCCCAGTGGTGACTGCTTTATTCTATAGGTACCGATAGCTTAAAGAAAACCGTTTTTATGTATTACATTGTTCCCACGAAGGCATTGCCAAATTTAAGTTCGGATTAAATTTTGTAATCAATAATTTTATCGTTACCGTAAAGGTAAATCGAAAAAACTAAGTTCATCATTATATTATATCTAGCTGTCGCCTACGACTTCGTTTGCAAGGGATTAAAAAATAGATAGTAGCCGATTGTCAGACCTGCTGAATATGCATATAAAATTTGATAAAAATTGGTCAAGCCGTTACGGAGTACGGTTACTAAAATTGCGAGACGAGAATTTTATATATAAGATTATTATTTCGTAAATTCAAATGTAACTTCATTTCACGTACAAACTAGATTAGTCAATCCTCGGTGTTATCGTTGCTACTACTAACTAAATTTGTTTTCTGATATTATATTTTATTGATTAATCTTCTTGAGCAGATAATAACCATCTTGATTTTAACAAAGTCAATGCTTCGTCGATTGTTATTTTTATCATAATTACTGATATCGCTTTTCATTTCAATGGTTCTGTATATTTTTTTATAATTAAACTTCATGGTTTCATAGAAGAAACCATAAAATCGTAGCCAAATAACTTTTTTCGAAATTTTACACAATAATAAAACGACAACAAATCATAAATTGCTTTTATATTAAAAAATAATTTGTTTGTAGCGTCACTCAATCGTTTGAAATTAATAACGCTGTCCACTTTGTACCAAATAAGATGTTATATGAATGTTATAGAGGTATAGAAGGTAGGGGCGCGAATTTCCCCTCACAAAAGGAGGGTGTAGACGACGGTCCGTCAGACGGCTTTGGTGCAAAACACATGACATTGAATATTAATTTGATGAATAGATTTCTTCCTCCTAAAACCTGTTTTAATGCAAAAAATCGATTATGTGGAAAAAGCTGAAATAAAAGTTTTTTTTTACATGATTGACTTGTTTTTTTCATTAAAATATTAACTATCAAAAAAGTTATGTGGAAACATTAACGCACTTTTTTATCTTACTTATATTATAAAAAGGAACGTTTGGGTCTATGGATGGATGTTTGTTAGGAGATATCTCCAGAACGGCTACTCGAATCTCGCTGAAATTAGACATAGATGTAGAACATAGCCTAGAGGAACCCATATTAGAATAATTTTTTTTTGGTTCCACGCGGACAGGGTCGCGGTCTACAGCTAGTTGATTATTTACGTCTCTCGAATTAACACTTACTAATATAATAAATGAAATATACTGGTATTACTGCATCCGTTATCCGAAGTGTAACCCTAATTAATCCATAATTTTATCAAAGGACGGTACACAATACAATTATCAACTCTTAATCATTCTTTATACATGTGGTCTTACATCGTGTGAAATATTGCAATATTTTTTTTAATAAAACTGAAAATATGTGTGGTAGAATCTGTGGTATAACAACCACAGTAATAGGTGTGGTGTTAGTGGTTGTTAGTACAGTTCTTACCTTTGTTTTCGTACCCGGTGTTATTGAAGATTTGATCATAAATGTAAGTAGATATATTACATAATAAATCTATAGGCCAGAGAGTATAACACTGTCCATACAGGACCATTAAAAGTAGGTAACATGTACCTTATAACCTGCGGATGTCTATAGGGAAATTTTCCTATTCTATCAATATCAGGAGGCCTTCAATGAGTCTAAAAGAGTTACTACTTAAAGGAAATATACAAAGAGAAGACTCACCAACTGCCAGTCATGTGTATTGTAATTTTAATCGCATTCGCTTGTGACTTGGTACGGTACAAACTTCCCTATTATACCTAGACCCCACGCGTACACTAGACCTCCGAAACACGAGTTACACGTGCATATCTATCATATAGGCTATCATATGTCAGCAGTATTAAATTGACAAGCCCGATAATTGAACAAAGGCAGTGGTACCGTTTGTTGAATATCTCTTCACGTTCCTAGCCAAATTAAATTATTTCGAAAATTACGTTTTCATTAAACTGCATCTGCATATGAATATTTGATTTCGGAATACAGCACTATTACGGGGGTTCGGTTGATCAAATCAAATTAGCTATTCTCATATACGATATACTAATTGTTCGAATGTGACATAACTAATATAGTAGCTTTAGTATTGAATTTATACTAAGATTGTCTGTACCCGAGGTGGTGGTTTTACCCAGACGCAAGTCTTATTTATGTTTATCTTGTATACCCTAAAATAACTTAAAATTTAAGCAATCTAAGTAACATGTTTTGCTTAATTGTTACATTAATATTATGATAGTTTGGCTTAAATACATTATAAACACTCTGATGTTAATTGTAGTTGATGTCTTTAAAACATATAGCTTTATTTTAAATTAAAAAAAAATAGCTTAAAATTAACAGTATCGCCGTTGAGTCAATTTATAAATAAATTTATTTTATTTCAACAATATTTTCTCATAGTAACATTTCAGTACAATAGTGTTAAAGAGCTGTACTTACAACTTTTACTGTACTTGGTTTTGAAGTTCTCGAAATGAACCGAAATTACATTTTGAGGTTACGAGACTTCGCTGCAGTAAGTTAATCGTGGTAGTCTTTGTGACGAAACAATTCTAATAATACGAAAGTTCAATACCGAGCGCATACCGAGAAAGCCTTTATACTTGATTTATCTTAAACATAAAATACCATGAAAGCTAAGAGCAGAAATACAGAAATTTATAATAATACAAAAAAAATTCACATCTGTTGACCTTACGAAGGCTATTGTTGTATTTTTTATTTTTATTAAAAATATTTTTTCGGAATTAACTCAGTACATATTAACGCACAACAAAAATTTCTATAAAAATACAGACTAAAAAATATTTTGATTGATTAAATATCTGTTTTACTGACCCTACTTGTATTTTATGATTTTAGGAGGTAGTCCTTTTAGATGACACAGAGCAAATGGAGAGATTTCAGGAAATACCATTTCCTCTAAATTTCACAATCAGATTCTTTAACATATCGAATAGAGAAGAAGTTCTCGCAGGTGGAGTACCCGACCTGGTAGAAGTCGGACCTTACATATACAAGTAAGTTAATTTACTATACTAGAAATTAGTTAAGTTTTTTTGTGAGTTTCCATTGTCGAAATATTTATATTAAAACATATAGTCATCTCCCTTTTCTCACTGAAAAAAGTGTAATAAAAATGTATTAAATATTTCACTGAAAACTCACGGCAAAAAAGCCAAGAGAGAAAAAAGGGTGAATAAGACGACTCTTGGTAGAGTATTAGGTAAAGAAACTTGTTGAGCCGACTGCTTTTAAGTTAGTAGTACACGTAGTTCTCAAGTACTACCTGCAAAACGTTATAAAGAAAAATATGATGCAATGCATCACAAACATTTTATACAAACTATTTTTTTATTTACATAATGTATCTTCATAACTGCTGGAACTCGACAAAATTTGGAATACATATAGAATATATTCTGGAAAAACACAGGCTACTAATGATGTTTTTTTAGTTCCGAGCGAACTAAGTCGCGGGCGGCAGCTAATTAATCAATACATACAGTGATAATAATTAACCCTTTGTAGGCAATAGCAAGGGATCCTCATCGCACAATTACCCGTCGAATAGAACGTTTCACTTGAGCGTTCATTATTACACCACTCTGAACGTTTGATTTGCAATTACCTACCCATCTAATAACATCCAATCCACATGAAACTCGTTAATTGGATAAATTAAAAATTGCATTGCTATTATGCTATAGATTTGAATCCGGTTGAACTGAGTCAAAACAGCCTTTAAGTTTTTTGAAAAACTGATATAATATCAGATATAATCTATTCAGGACACAAACCAAAATATTATACCCAGTTATTTCAAACATACAAACATTGATTTATGACATGGTTAAATTATTATTTCTTACGAATAATTATTTTCATTGAAGTATCTAATTGTTACTATCGTGTTTGCAATTTATGTTTTCATTTTGATGACAGATCATATCAATCAAGAGATGTGGAGAGTATGGAGGTTGACACGATCAGCTATCGAACTATGGAGCGGCTCGAATTCGATGCTGAGAGTTCCTACCCCTACACAGAGGATGATATAATGACGATCGTCAATCCACCATATCATGTAAGATACAATTTATTATTTTTTATAATTATATAAGTACGTAAAGTGAATACTGTGTACCCTTTTAAGCAAATTGCGCTATCTTATGTACGTGAATTTAATACAGTTAAAGTGGAGAAGTATTGGATAAAGCTATTTTATTGGAAAATCTAATCTAAGAATTCTTTTACAAATTATAGTCTTTTGAAGAATGGGTCACTACTAGTTAAGTTTTTATTATCAATAATCTTTGATTTATCATTAATTGAAAGAAGTAAGAAAATTATTTCTTTTTCACGAAAAAATATCATATATGAACCGGTTTGCATGTAACGGTTGCAATAAATTCGTATTGCCAGTTGCCTGAGAGATGATTCCGTAATTAATGAAACAGTTATTTATCAACTATAAATTAAAAGAAAAACGGCACTGCTTTGCAGTCGAGTAATAAAAATTAAAACAAATTGTTTGAAATAATAGAAATAGCTTATATAATTATTTAATGTTTAACATTATTAAACGTACAACTTTATATAAATAAAAGGTTCAATATAGAGAATTTAATGAAAAGTTGAAAAATGTTGTGCAGAGGATTTATTAGAATTGGAGTTAGAAGTATGTTATTTAAACAACTTCCAGTGCTTAAGTGAAATAGGAAACGGGAAGTTGGACATCGGCTTAACGTTCTATTTTATTTTGTATAAAATACGTTTGAAAAATACAGTCCGTCCGTATTAAGACAAAATGTGTTTTCATGTAAAGGTTTTTACGTTTATATGATTAGATGTTTTCTGGTAATTTTGAAATAACTTTATATTAGTTACTAGCTGTCACCCGCGACTTTGTCCATGCGGAATTAAAAAAAACTTCATATTGATCTATGCAAAATCTTAGCAAGACACATGCAGCCGTTCTAGAGATATCTTTAAACAAACATCCATCCATCTAAACATTCACATTTATAATATTAGTAAGATAAGATATATCGTAACTTCTTTAGCCTAAAATTTTACTGATTTTTAGAGTAGTCCTCCCCAGGGTTACGGGGACAGAAGCTTGGAATTATTTTTGTTTTAAAGTCTACATACGAGCTTGGAAGAGTGTTAAATTTATTAATTGCGATGTGATCGCATCGTGTTTAATGACACTCGTGAACGCATCCACTCGTTTATTTTAAACGTGTCTATGCGTTGCTAAGGGTGGGATTTTATCCCCCTTACGCCCGCCCCCCTCCCACGGTTGTGGCGTGTCCGAGGCCGGGTCTGCGGGGTCGAGGGTGAGTTCATTTTGCGTACGTCCCTTGTTAGAGCGGAAGCGGATATTGGATTATAGTAAATTTTCACACTTAGTTCATTTATTTTCAATTGCAATCGCAATGATGTAAAATTTACCAAATTCTACCTAAGTTAATTGACTTTTAATAATTGATCCAAGTATCTGTCACGAATATTTTGGTTTTTGGAAATCACAAAAACGAATAAGGATATTTAAAGAACAACAGAGACGGAAATGTAGTTGCTTGCTTTTATTGTGATAGGAGTAAAAATATAGTTATATGCTATAATTGAAAAAATAATTTTTTAATGTTAACAATATTATGTAAAAAGATTTCAGCTTATCTTTAAGGCACACGAAAATATAAATGTAGCCCGCACACATCTGTAAGCGCACTCACACACTCGTAAACTTTGTTTTACCTTTTTTATCTATTTATTTTAAATACTATATATTTGAACATTTAAAATAACTTAATCATAATGTACGTAACTAGCGCGTACCATCTTTCCACTTTACAATTGATACTTTGTGTATGTTCCTGAAAGCGAATTATAAATGTAATCAATTTATATGTGTTTGTTTGCAAAGCGAATGCTGTAAAAAATAAAGTATGCGCCACGAAGTTGTTGCAACTGCGAGATTTATATCGAACGAAAACAATTCGAATAAATTACTATATGAAATAATAGCGAATTTTCAGTTTGAAACACCATATTTTCACGTTTCTATTTCACTTCTGAAAAAGAGATGGCAATATTTTTGTACTGATTCTTCAGCATTAAAGTCGTGGCTATACTTTTAAATAAAATATTTTTGTTATCTCTTGTTTATCAAATAATCGTTTGACTATTGCGAAATCGTAATTCATATCTTTCTAGTATAATCTATTCGATATCAATGTACTTAATGTACCGAAAAAATCAGTGGCAAATAATAAACATATTTAACATGGGTTCACAAATATTTAATCAAAAAAATTCAAATAAACCTACGGTTGGTTGATTTTTTATTGAAACTAAAAACTGCAGTTAATATAACGAACATTGGACTGTTCTGATTACTGATTGCTCGAATCAGTCCGTGTGTAGTGGTCCTTAACTGACAATTGTTCATTCAATAGCAATGCTATCGGAAAGGACAATTGCAACACTGCAACAATGCACGATGTGTAAACAATGATTAGCAATCGTGAACACCAGCCTTATGAATATGAACAGCTCGACAAATGAATACCAACTCACGGACAAAATATTCAGAGTCAATTTCAAATGTATTGGACGTTGTTCATTACGAGGAAATTTCCTTATGAATTTGCACTGGTGAATATAGACCTGTTCTATTTGTAACCTTTTATTACGTTTCCTTGCCAATCTTATGCAAGTTCGGTCTTGTCTCATATCATCAACCCTTGAATATTGATTGCCACGTATATTGGTCTATACATTGATCTTTTACCTTTTTTTTATCCATTCTATCACCGTCTTAGCCTACTTGCCATCAGTTTGTCTGGCCACGTGACCTGCTCACCACAACATGCGTTTTAAATTCGAATTTCGACGAAAAACTTACTTAAAGAATTCTTAAGTTCACATTCAGCGTAACGTAACATTCTTCTACGTATTTCTTGGTATTTTATTTCTTAGTTTACAAGTTTTAAATTACGTAAGAATTACTGATTAGGTCTTCGTCCACGAAACTAAACTGCAATTTAACTTAAGCTTCTATTCCAGGTAGTCTGAGGTAAATGTTATTTTTACCCACATACTGTATTGTTTTCACATTACAACTATTGTAAATCATCTTTTATTTTTTTAATAATGTTATTATGACTCGAACCTTATTTGTTTATCTAAGGTAGCTATTTAATTCCGTTCAAAATTTAACCTTTCTAATAATCTCAATAGAAATTGCTAACCCTAATCTATCGTTTGGAGAGTGATTCATTTATTTTGAACACCATGTAAGCTAGAAATTAAATAATTATTTTCTATGTTTGAGGAGTTTAATACGATTGTTGAGTCCAGTTTTATTTAACTTTTCCAATCAGTTGAGTACAACAGCTATAGCCTGTTTATATTCATAATATTTTCCCTTACGTCGACTTGACACATATTTAATGTGAATATTAAAAAGAGTAATTTAAATTAAATACAGCGAGTAAACTTTTCATCGTACTGCGAGCGTAGTTCCACAGCTTGGTAGTTGCTGTATCGACGTGTCACTATCCCGTGTGACCTATTTCACGAACATACATCTATGTCAACGACGCACTGCAACATATTCGTTATAAAGTCCAGTTTCTAGCCTATTTGCCCTTCCACTTGTAAACCTACACTATAAATACAGTACAAAAGCTTGAATATAATATTAGGCAGCACTAATTATTGTTAAATACAACGTGAAATATATTTTATTTAAATTGAGCTTGCGACTCGCCCTCGGAAAATGAGGTTATGCGTTCCTTTTTTTTATCAAACGTTTTTTGTAAGAACAGTTAGTAAGTAACTTTCCACGAAGGAAAATAAAAATGATTAAGGCGCTGTTGAGAGCTATTTAAAAAAAAACTTGTATTTGTAATTCAGTCAATATTCATTAAAAAATAATTGCCGATGCATATCTTTAATGTAAAGTCGGCAATGACATCAGTACACTTATGCATGAAATTTTTCACGACCTCAATTTATAATGTAGCAGGTCAGTTACACTGTTTATTAAAAACAGTCACATTAGAATAACCTTAAGTAAGATAATGATATCACATTTTATTTATAGACTGTTTTTTTTCAATAAAGAATATTGCTTATTACTTTTAGATAGGAACACACTAACACTAGTAAGTCGGGGTCAGTTTCATCGTCCAGTTTTTATATACCCACAAATGTGATTGCATTCGTCTGTAGTGAGACGCTTCCAATCCGCCGCAGAAAATAAATTAACCAATCTCACATTCCTAACACAAAAAGGTAAGCATAGATGAATTATTTTGCACCTTACTGAGATTTTCTTCCATATGTATTATTGTAAGTTGCATCGATTGCCAAAACGTCTGTAAAAACATGTAGTTATCCCATTTTATTCTTTAAAAAAAAATGTTTTATATACATGTTTCTGCAGTGAAATCGCGCGGTCGACTCTAACTACGTTTTTTATTTTGTTGACAACATCTTGTCAGGCACTTTGTTTGAATGTAATTACGTAATTTCTTTTAATTATTGACGATCTTAAGAAGTTGTATGGGTGGTACTGTACATTGTCGTGAAACTTGTGTTAATATATTGTCATCTCTTTCATTATCTATAACAAAAAGAGAGACTGCAATATGTATTACTACAAGAGTCACAGCAGTGGAGTACTACACTAATATTTAACGATTTAATGATCGACACGATACAGTGACAATTGCTATTGTTCCATCTTTTTTATGAAGAAAACTGTGATATTTAATATTGATTTATGTAGTTAAATTGTTCATTAATTGCTTTTACATCGCTTGACCGCATGAAGACCTATCTTGAAGCAAAGAAAACCCAAGTCAAAGGAGTCGCCTCAAAATGTACGGAGTGTTACTCCGTACATTTTGCAACCTTTTAATAAAGTAAAACCTCCGTAGTCTGCCTTTGACACCCCGAGTTAATGCACTTTTGCTGAGCGAACTTACACATACAATATACCGTTAACAAATATTATGTTAGAAATATTTTTCCGTTCAACTTTTACAGACTTTTATATAGTGTAACATCTTA